AGTGTAGTTAGCAGGCGGGGTTCGGACCCCGCGTCACCCAGCACCCTGAGACCCAGGGTGAGCTCCGAGCCCGAGCAGCTACATTGGCGCCCAGAGGCGCCCGCCTTACTTTGTAGACTCTCTCCGTGCGGGTGGAATTCAGTGCCGCACCGCTTAAAATGGGATTTCTGCTCCCCACCCCCGTGCATATGCCGCTAATTTCATGCAGATTTTGTGTTGTAGATTCCTTCAGAGACTCAAGGTTGAAGCTGGGTTTGGTATAAAAGGATATGAACTCTGGTTCCAACCCTGCCAGCACTTTGTCCTTGCAAGGACAGTCAACCTCGTTGAGTCACGAGTGAAACTGTAGAGACCTGGGGTGAACACTTAGTAGGGCTGACCGTTTTTTTGGACTAGCATGGGCTACAGTGAGGAAGGCTGCCAATAGACCCACTACTGTGATCTCAGCTACTCAGGAGGCCGAGGCAGGAGGGTCACAAGTTTGAAGCTGGCTTGGGCAATTTAGAAGGCCTTGTCTCAAAATAAAACATAAAATGCCTGGAAATGAGGTTAGGCCCTCCCTGGGTTCAATCTCCCATATTACAGGAAAAGACACGGTGAAGAGATTATACACTAAACCTGAACCAGGCCCTGTGAGTGCAGACTTCAGCCTAGAGTCGTGGTTCAGAGCTGTTTGGGATCCCAAGAGCCTCTCTGGGTGTCACTCCCTGCTCTGGCAGTGCTCTCCTTTACCTCTGGGCACCTGAGCTGATGGAGCAGCTCAGGTATGAATCAGTCTCCTAGGCCTCCAAGGCACTCCTACTGTCTGATCCCTGATCCTTTCCCCTTTTCTGCCCTTCACGTGCTCAGACAAAAACTGGGGGAGTCTTCCTGCCCCAGCTGCCTCCTTCACTCAGCTATCCCCATGCACCATTCTGAGCTCTACAGTCATCTCCCATAGGTTGCACCTATAGACTTTGGCTTCCATCTTTACTCCCAGAGCCGGGCCCCAGGCAGGACTGGAGTGACCTGTACACATGCAGGTGACAAGAAATAAGGGGCAGCAGGGCTGGAGATAGAGCCCCCAAGCCTTGGACCACAGGACCTGGGGAGGAACCTGGTCAAGGCAGGAGGGCATTTTGGCCACAGGTATATTTGTTGGTAGAGGGGTGGGGCCTCAGTCACAAGGCTGGGGAGTGATACTGGCTCACTTCCTGGGAACACTTCCTGGTCCCCAGTCCTATCACTGTCAGCCAGGGCTCGTGTCTGCAAGCTGATTACAGCAGAGCTGTCAGAGGGCTCTCACTGGGGGCCACCTGGCATCTGGAGCAGTGTCCTGGCCCCTGCCCATTCCACAGGCAGTGAGGCTATGCCGTTGGAGGACTGACCTTGTCTCAGCAGTTCCTGAGCTGGCCTGGACTGCTGCCCTGGAGATGTCCTCCAGGGGACCCAGATGGAGGTGCCCCCGTGGAGGGCTTCCTCAGCCTGGTAGAAAGTAGGGTGCAGCAGAGTTCAGATCTCCGTTGGTGGATTTGCTAGGCTCCTTCATGGCTACTGGCCTTTTCTGGGTCGCACCCAGACCACAGTCTGGGTGCTGGGCACCCTGGTAACCCCTCCCAAGCCATCTCGGACCTCACCTACAGTACCAGCCCAGAAGTACATACTCAGGCTGCACGCGTGACTTGACCCTGCAGTTCCACTCCTGGTGTGTACCTGGGTGAAAGGGTGGCTAATGGCCCCCCAGAAAATACATACAGATGTCCAGAGTCACTTTGTTCTCAACCCTTCCAAGCTGGAAACTCCCCCCAAACCCCTTCAGTTGTGGAATGGCAAGTTAAGTGCATTGTGTACAACTACTACATGGCAACAAAAAGAACTACTGTACACACATGGACAGAGCTCACAGACGGACTGTTGAGTGAAAGAAGCCAGTCACAAAACTAGAGATGCCACGTGCACTTGGCAGGAGGATCACCTTGAGTTCAAGGCCAGCCTGGGCTACATAGTGAGATCTGTCTCAAAAAAAAAAAAGAAGCAGCCTCCACATGCTTCCATTAGCAGAAAGGGTACAAATCTAGGCAAGCTGTTTGCATGATTACAAGTAAGAATGGTGCTTCTAGCTGGGCCTGGTGGCACACACCTGTAATCCCAGCACTCGGGAGGCTGAGGCTGTAGGATCACTGTGAGTTTGAGACCAGCCTGGGCTACGTAGTGAGTTCCAGGTCAGTCTCAACTACATAGTGAGACCCTGTCTCAAAGAAAGAAAGAAAAAAAAAAAAAAAGAATGATGCTTTTCCTTAGGAGACGGAATAGATGGGCACGAAGGAGCTCTGGAAACCATGCTCGTTCTAGGACTTGATCACGTAATGACTACATGAATATGCTCACTTTGCAAATAGTATTTTTATATGTTTAATTCAAAAATTTCAATAAAAATGAAAACTTTAGCTGACTGTGGTAATCCCTGTACCCTGGAAGGCTGAGGAAGGAGAGTTTCAAGTTTGACTCCAGCCTTGCCAACTTAGTAACTTAGCAAGAGCCTGTTTTAAAAGATAAAATGAAGCCGGGCATGGTGGTGCACGCCTATAATCCCAGCACTCAGGAGGCTGAGGCAGGAGGATCACTGTGAGTTTGAGACCAGCCTGGGCTACATAGGGAGATCAAGGTCAGTCTCAACTACATAGTGAGACCCTGTATCAAAA